AATCTATATATATATTTATATATCTATATATATATTATAGAATAATCTTTCCACAGCAAGTTTGCTAACGAGATATGCCAATAGAATGCGAAAAACGTTTTAAATGTCTTAAATACAATGAACTGGTGGATGAAAAAATTTTAAGCTCCAGCTCCGTCCCTAATTCCCTGAAAAATACAGCTCTGACTCCGTTTCTCTGATTATAATTAAAGTATAGCATAATCTAGGAGTGTTATGAAGGTTAAAACTCGACAATTTCGTGACCGCAGCACTATTTTGTGGTCAGCATTGCGCATTAACCACCTTTACTTCCCAGGCAAGCCTATACATATTTAACTACTGGTACCTATCGATCTGAAGCTTTTGGGGGGGGGGCATCACACCTCCGCCAGGGGCATAACCTTGATCCTTCACACTGTGCCTTAATTTGAAACATCGTGGTTCAACTTAAGTTTAATACGTTAAAAATATTTTTAGAAGATAACTATGGAGGAAACAGAGGTGGTAATTATTTGCACCTTCATTTACAATGAAATAGAAGTTGAAATTATATAATTATCTGATTCGAACTAAATTTAATTTTTTTGCTAATTATCTTCTGATTCACCTATCTAAATGTCAAATCTAAAAGTTTCATGCACTATGAATTTATGATATTTTACCCATGATATTTTATTAAATATAGAATACTTTCCTTAAATTATTTTAAATGTTTCGTTTTCTTTCCAATAAATAAATAATTTTAATATTCTAATAATAAAAATTTAACAGAGCAGAAACTTACTTTTCAAATGATATTGTACTCACTTACTTGAAACTTACTGTTTCAAAATATATGAATATATATTTATTATAAATTCATCAGGAGACAGCGTTCCTCCATTTTTTCTTCCCTTTTTCTAGAAAGTTTTTTTCTTTTTTTTAAAAAAGAGAATTTTTGTACTCATTCCCAGTAAGTAGCAAAGATATTTCATTTTTTTTTTTAAATCAATAAACAGCTAATATCTTTCAATATACTTTTGAGTTCTTTCAACAACATTATTTTTACTTTTATTGAACATTAAATTCATTTTTTTGTTACATTTAATTTTCTTTTTGAAATATACATTAGAAAAACATCAATTTAAATAAATTCATGACTTATTTTTAATTTTAAAAGCCTCGAAACTTTTTGGGGCTCTGGGAGAAAAAAAACAAGCTTCAAGTAAAGAAAAATTAAACTGCTTTTGCCAACAATGTTAAATTTGTTGCATAATGCTGAAAGGCTTGCTTTATTTATTGCAAAATATATCATTAGGAATCATTAACCCTTACTTTAGTCTAAGATTTGTTTTTACGTTACTTATTTTATATTAGCATATGTTCCTAATAGCTTAATAGCATCGTAATATCTACTTAGCAATGAGTCTCAAAAATTAATGCTTTCGTAAGTAATGAAAATTTGTATTGTATGAAAAAACAATTATGTCGTCTTGTTAAAAATAACCATAAAGTAGCTTTTAAACACTAAATTCCCATTTTTTTAATATTAAAACGTGCTTCTATGTTTTTTATTAATAAATTAGAAAGGACAAAGCCAAAACAAAGAACCAAGTGATGAATAAAATGTTCGCAGCATTTGGTCTTGTTAACACAGCAAAGAAAACAATACCAAGATCATAGTTGATGAAAACTATAAATTTCAAGTTCTTTTACTCCTGTAGATTTGAATAAAAGCAGTAGAACTGGTTAAACGATCAGTCAAAATCGAAGTCACCGGTTTCTGACCCTTTCTTTCTTTTGAAGCAAAAAGCGGTCAGATATTTGTAATTATCCATCATTAGTCAGACATTGCTTTGAAGAACTGTTAGGGGCTGTACATAAATATCGTATTCGCCAATATTGAGTATGTTATGTATCAATAAATTTGTAAACTTTTCTTTATGAAAGTAACATTTTAGGGCTTAAAATAATTTATTATCACTTCAGTTGTAATAAGCAAAAAAAATTTTATAT